CAGGGAGCACTTCCCACACAGAATCCTAAAAGGGTTTGTGTTGGAAGTGACCCTAAAGCTCATCCAGGGCCACCCCTGGTGTCCCTGCATCCTTCTGCTGTCCAGGTGAGCATCCCCAGGTGTCCCTGCATCCTTCTCCTGTCCAGGTGAGCATTCCCAGGTGTCCCTGGATCCGTCTCCTGTCCAGGTGAGCATTCCCAGGTGTCCCTGCATCCTTCTGCTGTCCAGGTGAGCATCCCCAGGTGTCCCTGGATCCGTCTCCTGTCCAGGTGAGCATCCCCAGGTGTCCCTGGATCCGTCTCCTGTCCAGGTGAGCATCCCCGGGGGTCCCTGGATCCGTCTCCTGTCCAGGTGAACATCCCCAGGTGTCCCTGCATCCTTCTCCTGTCCAGGTGAGCATCCCCAGGTGTCCCTGGATCCGTCTCCTGTCCAGGTGAGCATCCCCAGGTGTCCCTGCATCCTTCTGCTGTCCAGGTGAGCATCCTCAGGTGTCCCTGGATCCGTCTCCTGTCCAGGTGAGCATCCCCGGGGGTCCCACCTGGCTCCAGCCCTGGAGCATCCCCCGGTGCCTCCTCTGGCTGAGCTCCAGGTGCTGCTGCTGTGGGAGCCCGGCCTGGGGCAGCTCTGCAGGTGAGGTCTCACCTGCGGATCGATGGATTTGGGGGCTGAGAGCCCAAATCCCCGTGTCCGGGTCCCGGGGATCCCCTTTCCCTTTCCCTTTCCCGTTCCCGAGCCCGGCCCCGGCTGCTCCGCAACCTTCGGGCTCTCTCTTGTGGCTGCTCAGCCCCGCTGCAGCCTCGCCGCTGCCGCCCCGAGCCCCCCGGCCCCTGTGCCCCTCCCGGGGTCCGCTGTGCCCCTCCCGGGGTCCCCTGTGCCCCTCCCGGGGTCCCCATCCTCCCTCCTTCACCGTGGGGACAGCCCCGAAATTGGGAAAAGCGCCAGGGGCAGGGTGGGAGCGGGACCCTGCCGTGCTGTGCCCATCCCACGGCTCTGTCCGTCTGTCCCAGTCTGCCCCAGTCTGTCCCAGTCTGCCCCAGTCTGTCCCGGTCTGTCCCGGTCTGCCCCGGTCTGCCCCAGTCTGCCCCAGTCTGTCCCGGTCTGTCCTGGTCTGTCCCAGTCTGTCCCAGTCCATCCCAATCCATCCCAGTTCATCCCAGTCTGTCCCAATCCATCCCAGTCCATCCCAGTCCCTCCCAGTCCACCCCAGTCCATCCCAGTCCATCCCAATCCATCCCAATCCCTCCCAGTCCTTCCCAATACCTCCCAGTCCCTCCCAGTCCCTCCCAATCCATCCCAGTCCACCCCAGTCTATCCCAGTCCCTCCCAGTCCATCCCAGTTCATCCCAGTCCATCCCAGTCCCTCCCAATCTATCCCAGTCCACCCCAGTCTATCCCAGTCCCTCCCAGTCCATCCCAGTTCATCCCAGTCCATCCCAGTCCATCCCAATCCATCCCAGTCCCTCCCAGTCCATCCCAGTCCCTCTCAGTCCATCCCAGTCCATCCCAGTCCACCCCAACACGCAGCCCCCAGCCCCGACTCATCCCCCAGCCCCTCCAGCTCTCCCCCTCTCCCTTTCCTCTGGATTTTTCCCGATTTTTCCCCATTTTTTTTTTGTGGCTGCCTCAAGGGCTGTAATTAAGAGCCTCCTCTGGGCCGTGGAACCCAAGGAAAGCCAAGGAAAGCCCCTCTCATCCTCCCTCTCCCCTTTATAATTTTATTTTTGCAGCACATAAAGGGATGACAGCGCTCCGAGCTGGGCTCTTTTGCATTTCTGAGTTGGTTCTGTTAATTGGAAGGAGGGTTAAGGGCCTGCAAGGTCGTTTCAATCTCCGGATTTTTCTCTGGATTTTTCCCCATTTTTCCTGATTTTTCCATGGCTGTAATTCAGAGCCTCCCCTCCCATCTCCTCTGGGCCGTGGAACCCAAGGAAAGCCAAGGAAAGCTCCTCTCATCCTCCCTCTCCCCTTTATAATTTTATTTTTCTTCCCCTCCCTGCAGCACATAAAGGGATGACAGCGCTCCGAGCTCGGCTCCTTTGCATTTCTGAGTTGGTTCTGTTAATTGGAAGGAGGGTTAAGAACCTGCAAGGTCGTTTCAGTCTCTGGATTTTTCCCGATTTTTCCTGATTTTCCCCCCATTTTTCCGTGGCTGCCTCACGGGCTGTACTTAAGAGCCTCCTCTGGGCCGTTTCACCCTCCCTCTCTCCTTTATAATTTTATTTTTTCCCCCCCTCCCTGCAGCACATAAAGGGATGACAGCGCTCCGTGGAACCCAAGGAAAGCCCCTCTCGTCCTCCCTCTCCCCTTTATAATTTTATTTTTGCAGCACATAAAGGGATGACAGCGCTCCGAGCCGGGCTCTTTTGCATTTCTGAGTTGGTTCTGTTAATTGGAAGGAGGGTTAAGAACCTGCAAGGTCGTTTCAATCTCCATCTGACCTTCAGAGTAATCCTCTATGCCAACACCAGAGCATGTCATTAAAATGAGGCCCCTCTTCCACATCCCGCCATCCCTTTATTCTCTCCTTGTGCACATTAATTGCTCATAAGTTGATTTGATCTCCCTATTCTGCAAGAAGTAAATTGCCCTCTTATTTCGCCATTTTCATCCTGTTTTCTTAATTAGGCCCTTAAAAATCTCTGAGGGCCTCAGCCGGGCCCGCAGGCCTCATCCTGGGAATAAATTTTGATCTCGGGCTGATAAAGAGTGAGCAGAGCCCGGGCTGGAACAATGTCATGGGCTGCCCTCCCTCCCCACATGCTATTCTCCTGACATGAAAAGGCTATCAGTTTTTTCTCTGTGTTAATATAGGAAATAATTCACACTTCAGGCGTTGTTCTCTATTTAGTGCTCGCACTCCCCTGATAAATCAAATCAGGGATTTTTTTTTTTAATTTTTTTTTTCTCTAAAGTGTCTGGAGCCGCTCACTCCTTTTCCCCCCCTCACCACCTTCAGCCTCTTCTCGCTCTTTTTTCCCCTCCTTCTCCTTTTAATAAAGTTTCCAAGATAAACCCCTGTGATTTTCCAATTTAAGGTGGATTTTCTTGCTTTTTTCCCCATCCTGTGTGTGTTTAACACCAGCACTGAGGGGAGTGGGAACCTGGCACGTGGCTTGGGATAAGTTTTACCAGGCACAGGCTTTTAAATTCTACTTTAAAATAGAATTTTTCCCTTTGCACTGAGGAGAGTCCCCAAAACCTGCCTGGCCCAGGGGTCCCAGCACCCAGAGGGGTTCTGCAAAACCCTGAGACAAAGAAGAAGCTGCCACGCTCCAGGATGTTGTAAATAAATATATTTTTAATGATTCTTCTTCCATTCCAGTTCATTCTTTTATACATTTATTTATAAAACAGTAGTAAAATTTTTTAATCAGAGCACAGTGCATTAAAAAAAAAAAAGAAAAAACAAACGAAACTCCCAAAAATATTTAAAAAAAAAAATAGTAATTATAATCCACAACTGTTTACTCACAGCCAGGGGAGACATCTCGTGCTGAGCACTGGCCAGGGCACCCTAAAGCCACAATAATCTGAATTTCCTGTGGGATTTTGTGCCCTGAGCACCCTCCCAGCCCCTCTGGAGGGCACAGACTCTCCCACAGCCAGGTCCCCAGCACGGCCAGGGGTGACCCTGGTGGGGACAATTCTCTTTGCAGGCACTGATGGCTGCACACAAAGGGTGCCAAGGCCTCCTGTGAACACCCCCAGAGCTCCAGCCCGGAGCTCTGAGCTCTCCTGGATCCTCCTCTTCCTCATCTGGAGCCCCTCCCGGGTCACCCAGTGCCCCCTCAGGTCCCTGCCCTGCTCCAGCTCCTCCTCACTCTGCACTTCCCCGCACCCTCACGTCCCACAGACCCCTCTGTGGGGCTGGCCCCCACTGCCAACCCCAAATCCTGACACCAGGGGCCACCTGTGTCCCCCCAAAACACCCCTGTGACCCCCCAAAACACCCCTGTGACCCCAGGACATCCCTGTGTCCCCCCAGGTCACCCAGCTCCAGGATGGGGACACAGGGTGACCCAGGGGGGACCATCCCCAAGGGGTCCCCTCTCCTCTCCAGCTTCCCTCTTCTCTCCCTCAATAAACCCTGGAGGGTTTTCCAGCCTTCCCCTGCCCTTCCCAGCTCCCTCCCAGCTGGATTGGGAAGTCAGGACCTGAGGCAGAGCCCAGAGCAGCTCCCCAGTTCAGAGCTGTGGAACAAACTGGTGACACTGGGAGGAGAAACAACCCCTGAATTCCCAGCTCGGGTTTGGCAGCTGGCACAAACCATTCCCTGCTCACAGCCTGGAGCTTCCTGCCCACGTGGGGCAGGACTTTCAAGAAGTACCTCCCAAAAAAAAGAAGTGGAAAACCCTTTTATCCTCCCAGGAAAAGCCTTTTATCCTCCCAGGAAAAGCCTTTTATCCTCCCAGGAAAAGCCTTTTATCCTGCCAGGACAGAGCTGGGGGTGGCACAGGGCACAGACACTGGGTGGGGACACCTCCAGGACACTCAGGGCCACCTGGCAGCCTCGCCCTGAGGTTTTGGGGTGCTGGGGGTGACAGCAGGGGGTTGCTGGAGCATCAACCTCCCCCCCATTCCAGGTGTTCTGGAAGCTTCAACAGCCACCTGCAGACAACACCCCCAGTGGTGCTGTATTAATAAACACACTCTAATTAATTAACACCTCGTCACCCTGCTGGGAGCCCAGAGGCAGCGAGTGCTCCCAGCAAGGAGGAACTGGGTGGACTGGGAAGCATCCAGGGGCTGGGGAGGACTCGGTGGGGATGAAGGATCCCAGAGCAGGGTGAGGAGACACCGAACAGGACACAAAGCTCACGGCACCACCCTGGGGGCTCCAGGCTCCCAGGCACCACCCCGGGGAAGGGGGTGAGGCCAGGAGGCTTCAGCTGAAAGGCAAAGCAGCCCAGATGTCGCTGCCAGGCTGTGGAATCTGCAGTCAGGCCAAGCCAGGAAGGTCCATCCTCCTCCTCCTCCTCCTGGCCAAAAGAAGCTGTGACAGACTCGGTGGCACCCGAGCCCTCCTTGCATAGACAAAGGAACTCCTGGGAAGATCCAAGTGTGTGGTGGGACGGGCTCCTCCTGCCAGGAGGCTCCTGGGACTTGCCCACCCCAAGCTGTGCTGCAATCCCTGCCCTGGCAGCTCCCCCATCACAGCATGTCTGCGTCCTCCATGCTGAAGCTGCTGCGGCGGCTGCTGGCCTTGGAGGCCTCGGGGGACATGGCTGAGAACAAGGGGTCAGAGGCCAGGGGCAGCATCGTGTCCTGCATCAGCATCAAGTCCAGCTCCTTCTTGGATAGGGATGGGAAGGAGGAGCTGTGGCCGGGCTCCAGGCTGTCCGGGAAGGAGCCATCATCGAAGCTCAGGTTGTGGGTAAAGTCCAGCTGGTGATAGGGGGACTGAGGGGGCACGGGCAGCGCTGGCTGAGGCTGGGATTCGGCCTCTGGGGGTGGCAGCAGTGGCTCCAGGGTCCCCTCGTCCCCGCTGGCTTCTTGCTTGACCACTTGCTGAGCCAGCTCGGCCACGTTGACGCCCGAGGGCGAGGAGGTGGGCAGCCCATGGACACGCGCCTGCATCTCCAGCTCCTGCCAAGGGGACACAGAGGGGCGTTCAGGGGGTGACACTGCACAGAGGTGAGAAGCTATTGAAGGTTGCAATGCAGGATGTATTCCATTGCCATCTGTAGGGCAGGTAACCTTTGTCAAGTGGGCAGTTTGCTTTATCTCTCTCTTTGAGTGACCACAATCACTCCTCCCTCAGGAGGGGACATCTGCTGATAACAGCTATGGAATGTCCCTGCATGGCTGATAAGAGCTACAGCATCCCATTGGGAGATGTGAGCCCAGAGGGAGGAGCCAAGCATTGCTACCCAGATATAATCCAGAGGTTTGGAGACACCAGCACAGCTTTCTCCACTGGATTCCCCAGAGGAACAGCAGCTGCCTCTTCTCATGCTCGATGCACATCTCACAAACTGTGCCCTCCAGTGTCCTCACAGGTGACCCCACAACTTTTAGTATAGTTTTAATATAATATACCTAATAAAATAATAAATCAGCCTTCTGAAACACGGAGTCCAATCCTCATCCCTTCCCTCATCCCAAGACCCCTGTGACCACGGTCACAGGAGACACCCTGGCCACGCCCTGGGTGGGGCAGGAGTGAGGGGCAGGTGGGGCTGAGGAGGGGCAGAGCCCCGGGGAGCTCACCTGGATGCGGAGCAGCAGCTGCTTGTTGGCCATCTCCAGGCGCCGGGAGTGGTTCTCCAGGTCCCGGGACCTCTGCAGGTCCTTCTGCATCCTCTTGATGTAGTCCACAGACGCCTTCAGGATTGTCCCTTTGTTCCAGCGCACGTCCCTGTCACCCAGCATGGAAAAAGGGATGGGCCTGGCTGCCAGCAGTGCGGCCACTCCCCTCTCCTCCACCCTAAAAGCCCTCGGTGACCCCAACCCTGTGTAGCTATGATATTTTATGAAAAATCTTTTCTTTAGGATTTTTTTCCTCCTGAGGAGCTGAGAGGCCTCAGGAACAAAATGTAAGCAATGGTTATCTGCTGCTGTGGAATGCAACAGGTGCATCTGGGATTGGTCTCATGTGGTTGTTTTTAATTAATGCCCAATCACAGCCCAGCTGTCTCAGACTCTGGTCAGTCACAAGCCTTTGTTATCATTCTTTTTCTATTCTTAGCTAACCTTCTAATAAAATCCTTTCTTCTATTCTTTTAGTATTGTTTTAATAGAATACATATAATAAAATAACAAATCAAGCCTGCTGAAACATGGAGTCAACATTCTCATCTCTTCCCTCATCCTAAGGCCCCTGCAAACAGCACCACATTTCCTCATGGAAAGGGTGGTCAGGCTTTGGAAGGGGCTGCCCAGGCAGGTTTGGAGTGCCCATCCCTGCAGGTGTCACCTGGATGTGGCACTCAATGCCCAGGGGGATTGGGCACAGGCTGGATTTAATCTTTTCTCAGTGATTCTGGGGTTCTGTGTCATGCTCGATGCACATCTCACAAACTGTGCCCTCCAGCGTCCTCACAGGTGACCCCACAACTTTTAGCACAGTTTTAATATAATATACCTAATAAAATAATAAATCAAGCCTTCTGAAACATGGAGTCAACATTCTCATCTCTTCTCTCATCCTAAGACCCCTGCAAACACCACCAGAATCCTGCAGGAGCCGTGGATACCTACAGATCATTGGCTTTGGGGATCAGCATTCCCAGCTCCTTGATGCGGTCGTTGATGTTGAACCTTCGCCTCCTCTCGACTGTGGGTGAGAGGAGAGGGATGGAGGTGAGCAGGCAGCAAGCAGGGAAGGCTCTGTGTCCCTCCCACGTGTCCTTCCTGTCCCTCATGTCCCACATCCCTCTGCTGTGCTCCAAAGGAACTGGGGAGCCCAGGATGAGGAAGCTCAGGAGCCAACCCTGCTCCATGCCTGGCCCAGCAGGTCTGATCCTCCCTCTGGGTTTGTCTCAGACACATTTTATGGAAAATCCTTTCCTTAGGATTTTTCCTCCTGAGAAGCTGAGAGGCCTCAGGAACAAAATGTAAACATTGATTGTCTGCTGCTGTGGAATGCAACAGGTGCATCTGTGATTGGTCTCATGTGGTTGTTTCTAATTAATGGCCAATCACAGCCCAGCTGGCTCAGACAGAGAGTCCAAGCTACAAACCCTTGTTATCATTCCTTCTTCTTCTATTCTTAGCCAGCCTTCTGATGAAATCCTTTCTTCTATTCTTTTAGTATAGTTTTAATGTAATATATATGATAAAATAATAAATCAGCCTCCTGAAACCTGGAGTCAGATCCTCGTCTCTTCCCTCAGCCTGAGGCCCCTGTGAGCACCATCACAGGGTTCACATCTGGGAAGGGCTGGGCAGGATGGATCCCACTGGGAGGCACCAGCTGCCACATGGATCTGCCCCTGGTGCTGCTCTGGGGAAGCTCCTGGCAGGGAAACCTCTCCTGGCTCTCCCATCTCTCCACCCTTGCTCCCTCACCATCCCTCTCTCCCACCTCTCCAGCTTTTCCAAAGGGTTCCCAACCGACCTGATCTCCCCCAGGTGTCCCCTGTACCCCACTGTGCACAGCCAGCAAGGAGGGGCTCAGGGGGCTCTCCTGAGGGTCAGCTGGGATGGGAAGGGGCCCCAGCTCAGAGGAATGAGGATGAAGAGTGATGGGGAGAGGCAGAGCTGAACTCACTCAGGTTGTGATTGTCTTTCTTCTGGCGCTCCTTGGCCAGGGCTCGGCTCTCGGCATCTGCAAGAGACCCGGGGTGTCACCCAGAGGGGACAAAGCTGCAGCTGGGCTGGCACTGGGGTCCCTGTACCCCCCTGGGGACAGGGCAGCCCCATTTTGGTGCCTTGCTCTGGGGCCAGGACGTACCTGTGAGTTCTCTCTTCTGGGTGAGCTCGGCGGGGCAGGAGCTGCTGGTGACACCAACGAGTGACGCTGTCACCTGAGGGTCCCCACTGTAGACATTCATGTGGCTGCTGGACATGGGCAGCTGCAAAGCAGAGGGACAGCTGGGTTAGCTCCATGCAGGGCTGGGCACTGTGATCACACCCAGCTGGGCAGCTGGAATTGTCCTCCCAGGTCCTTAAAGCGGCTTTCGCCAGAGCAGAAAAGAAAACAGGACTTGAAAGGGCACAGCTGATCCCCTCCCATGGCCAACATCTAAAATAGGGCAGGTGAATCCCAGCTGGGAAGGGCTGGGCAGGATGGATCCCACTGGGAGGCACCAGCTGCCACATGGATCTGCCCCTGGTGCTGCTCTGGGGAAGCTCCTGGCAGGGAAACCTCCCTTGGCTCCATCTCCCCACCCTCTCTCTTGCTTTTTCAAAGGCTTCCCAACTGCCCTCAAGGGGAAAAAAGCTGAAAATTTTATTCTTGTGGGTGTTGCAGTCTCCAAGGACAAGGCTGGCTGGGGCTGCCACCACGGCACCGCTGTGGGGACACGGCAGAAGGTCCCCTCTGTGCCACCTCTGTACCTGCAAGGACAGGGCTGTGACACCCCCAGGCCCAGCCCCTCCCTGTCACCCCCCACTCACCGTGTTGGGCATGTGGACTTCAGGGTTCATGTAGCCCAAAACATCATCCAGGCGCATGATGTCATCGATGACCTCATCAAACTGGAAAGGGAGAAGGACAAGTGACCGTGGGCTCCTCTGCCATTCCCAACACAAACTCTACAACTTTGTGGAAGTTGTAAAGCTGTATGTTGAAAGTTGTATGTTTGTAACAGTGCTGGAGCATGTGGAGATCACTCTCTGTAAAAGGCCTGTGCACCTCTGGGAACTCCAGATCCCTTTTTATCCCCCTCTCAAATACACATGCGTGCCATTTCACAACAGGTTCGTGCATATTTTTACCGATTTCGCGTGACATTTGCCGCTAATTCTTCTTTATTAGAAAGAATTCTTGGGTCAGGTTGACCTGCTCTTGTAGCAGCCTCTGTCTCTCTGTCTCTTCACCCTTATTTCTGCCTTTTGGCTGAAGCAGTTTCTCTCAGCACAGACTTTTTACAAGAACAGGCAGCCAGACCAAACAGCTCCATTTTCAAACCACACACTTTTAACTCCAAGATGTACATCTCACCTAAACCAAAATGGATTTCTGCCGTTTCTGGAGAATTTCCAGAGCAGGGGACACGTGCTCACCTCCCTCTCGGGGTTGGAGCCGATGTTGAGCATGGCCATGGGGCTGTTGGGAGCGCTGTTGCCTGCCGAGGAGGACAGGACGTGGCCGGGCCGGACGCCGGGGGACGCGGCCGGGGGTGGCTTGGGAGAGTGGCTGGCGGGGCTGACGTGGGCAGCAAATTTGTTCCCATAGGTCTCGGAGAGATAAGCCTGCACCTTCTTGTCCCGAGACTTCTGCAGGTGGTAGGTGGTGGGGTTCTCCAGGTAGGACTGGACCTGCAAGGGGGGACAGAACCCATCAGGGACACAGGTGGAGGTGTGCCGGACACATTTTATGAAAAATCCTTTAGTTAGGATATTTTCTCCTGAGAAATTGAGAGGCGTCAGGAACAAAATGGAAACAATGGTTATCTGCTGCTGTGGGATGCAACAGGTCCATCTTTGATTGGTCTCATGTGGTTGTTTTCAATTAATGGCCAATCACAGTCCAGCTGTCTTGGACTCTCTAGTCAGTCACAAGATTTTATTATCATCCATTCCTTTCCTTGCTGATGAAAATCCTTTCTTCTATTCTTTTAGTATAGTTTTAGTATATCATTTCTTATAACATAACATAACATAACATACCATAACATAACATAACATAACGTAACACAATACAATACAATACAATACAATATAATATAATATAACAATTATATTATATTATATGGTATGATATGATATAATATAATGTAATATAATATAACATAATATCATATAATATACAATATATAATACTATATAATATATAGTAAATATACACTATACTATTACTATACTACAATGTAATGTAATGTAATGTAATGTAATATATATAATAAAATAATAAATCAGCCTTCTAAAAAATGGACTCAAGATCCTCATCTCTTCCCTCACCCTGGGACCCCCGTGACCACCACCACCACCACCGCACAGAGGGGACACCGCGGTACCTTGAGCACCTCTCCGGGCACGGGCGGTGGGGACTGGAAGTGGACAGGGGTGTTGATGGCAGGGCTGGAGGCCACGGGCATGCGCTGCTGCTGCATGTAGCTCATCATCATCTGCTGCTGCACCCGCTCCCGCTCGGCTTCCTGCTGCGCCTGCTGCTTCATCAGCTCCATCCGCAGCCCGATGCGCGACGCCATGGCGGCACTGGGGGGTGCAGGCCACCAACCCGCCTGGCACACAGGTCACCCTGCCAGGAGGACACGGAACGTCACCCACAGCCTGCCAGGAGGACACGGCACATCACCCACAGCCTGGCACAGCGGGGAAACTGAGGCACGGAGAGACATCCCAGAGCACCCACTCTGGCACAGAAAGACATCCCAGAGCACCCACTCTGGCACAGAGGTCACCCTGCCAGGAGGACATGGAATGTCACCCACAGCCTGCCAGGAGGACACGGAATGTCACCCACAGCCTGCCAGGAGGATACTGATAGCCTGGTACAGTGGGGAAACTGAGGCACAGAGAGATATCCCAGAGCGCCCACTTTGGCACAGAGGTCACCCTGGCAGGAGGACACGGAACGTCACCCACAGCCTGGCACAGCAGGGAAACTGAGGCACAAAGAGACATCCCAGAGCACCCACTCTGGCACAGAGGTCACCCTGCCAGGAGGGCACAGCACGTCACCCACAGCCTGCCAGGAGGGCACAGCACGTCACCCACAGCCTGCCAGGAGGACACCGACAGCCCTGCCCAGCGGGGAAACTGAGGCACAGAGAGACATCCACTCTGGCTCGTGATTAAACCAGGAGGAGCATCCCAGGGCTGGCTGAGGACCTGGTGCCACCACCCGGCCTGGCTGTGAGACCCCCCCCCCCCACCACTTACAGAAAACCAGGCTGAGGAAATCAAAAGCACCCCCAGGAATCTCTAGAGAAGGGAAACTGCCGAGGATGAGGATGGGGATGGGGAAGGGTGGCCAGAGCTGGGATGGACAAGGAGAGGGGGGAATTTAGGCTCTGGCAGGAAGGGAACCGCGATGGAGCAGCCAGGACCCCGCACTCACCCCGGAGCCACCTCCCAAACACGGCAGAGCCCAGAGTGAGCCCGGCAGCAAAAGGGAAAGAGAAAGTGAGGGCAGAGCAGCAAGAAAAGGCCGGAGGGTGCCAGGAGCCGGGGGCAGGAGCGGGCAAAGCCCGGCTCGGGACAAGGCGGGCTCTGTGCTCTGTGCACGCGAGCGCGGGGACGGGGGGGACCACAGCACCGCCCGCCCGGCACAGAGCGGCCCTTGTTCCTCGGGACAAAGGGGATGGTGGCTCCGGAGGCTGGGGGATGCCTGCCGGGGCTCCAGGAGCCACCCCCGGCCACCCCGGCAGGGCTGGGATGCAGGAGATGCTGCAGCATCACTGGGATGCAGGAGATGCTGCTGCAGCATCGCTGGGATGCAGGAGATGCTGCAGCAGCATCGGTGGGATGCAGGAGATGCTGCAGCAGCATCGCTGGGATGCAGGAGATGCTGCTGCAGCACGGCAGGGAAGCACGGCAGGCAGAGGGAAAAGCTGCGAGGGGAAAGCAGAGAAATCTGCAGGGTTTTGCTGTTTAAATGCAAGTTCAGAGATGGCCTCGGTGGTGACAGCCACAGCGAGCCGGTGCTATGCGTTACCCGGAGGGGAAATGAAATCAAGGCAGCGCCTCGGAGGATGACACAGCTCGAGAGCAACTATTGAGCAGCCAGGGGAGGGGAATTAATCAGCCATGGTGGCCTGGCCCGAGGGGGATGGGAGCCCAGAGCCGGGCACAGCGAGCCACTGGAGCTTCGTGAAGGGGGATGTGGGAACAGACCTGGAGGAGGGCACAGGGGGGGCGCTGGGGTGAGAAACAGAAGCCTGGAAAAGACCCCAGAGAGGATGGAACAAGGCTGAGTTAAGAGGGAAACCCACGAGGGATGGACAACCCTAAGGCAAGAATTAAGAGGGAAACCCACGGGGGATGTACAACCCCAAACCAAGGCTGGATTAAGGGGGGAACTCACCAGGGATGGACAATCCCAAACTAAGAATTAAGAGGGAAACCCACGGACCCACGGGGGATGGACAACCCCAAACCAGGGCTGAGTTAAAGGGGAAATCCACAGGGGATGTACAACCCTAAAACAAGGCTGGATTGAGCGGGAAACCCACCAGGGATGGACAACCCTAAGTCAAGAATTAAGAGGGAAACCCACGGGGGATGTACAACCCCAACCCAAGGCTGGATTGAGGGGGGATGCCCACAGGGGATGTCCACAGGGGATGTAAAACCCCAAACATGAAAGGAAGGGAGAGAGGCTTTTCTCAAGAAGGGCTGGCACTCATGGGTGTCACGGGAAGCCACCCACAGCACCCACTGAGCCCTGCTGGCCCTGGTGCAGGTGCCCCCAGCTGCCCCCTTACAGAAAACAGGGCTGGGAGAGTCAAAAACTGCCAAGAGGAGCTGCAGAAGATGAGGATGAGGATGGGGAAGGGTGGCCAAGGCTTGGTTTGGTGAGAAGAAGGGGGAAATAGGGTCAGGTTTAAAATAACCCCTTTGGTTCTGCTTGGCTTCCCCCCAGCCCCCAAAATGCTGAGCAGCTTCTGCTTTCACTCTGAGTCAGCCCTGCAGGAGGGACAGGATGGGGACATGGGGCCCACCCTGGGGACACATCCCACCCTCCCCTGGCCCACAGGGACAGCCACGGGAGCCCATGGAATGGCAGCTCTATCTTGTTATTCCTGGGAGGGCACCCAGTGCTTCTCCCACTGAGCCAGAGCCACCAGTGGGGACCCCCAGACTGGTCCATACTGGGAGAGCCTCAGCCAGCCTCGTCCCTGGAGGCTGCAACACCCACAACAATCAATTTTCCAGCTTTTCTTCCCCCTTTTGAGGGCAGTTGGGAACCCTTTGAAAAAGCTGGAGAGGCTGGAGAGAGAGAGAGAGAGCAAGGGTGGGGAGATGGAAAAGTCAGGAGAGGTTTCCCTGATTTTTGCACAGGGAGGCACCACTGGCGCGGGAGATGGAGCAGTCGGGAAGGGGATGATGGAGGGGTTGAAAGGGAGGGAAAATCTGGATGATCCCAGCCCCTCTCCACAGCCCAACTCCACTTCTCCAGTCTGGAGGAAGGCGGGACAGGGGCTGACCAGGCTGCAGCCCCAGGGAATGCATCTCTCTTCCAAATGTCCCTGTGCTGCTCGGCAGCTCCGTTATTCCTGGATATTCCTGATTATTTCTGGATATTTCTGGTTATTTCTGGTTATTTCTGGATATTTCTGGTTATTCTTGGTTATTTCTGGTTATTCCTGGTTATTTCTGGATATTTCTGGTTATTCTTGGTTATTTCTGGTTATTTCTGAATATTTCTGGTTATTTATTTCTGGGTATTTCTCGGTATTTATTTCTGGTTATTCCTGGTTATTTCTGGCTATATTTGGTTATTTATTTCTGGGTATTTCTGGGTATTTATTTCTGGTTATTCCTGGTTATTTCTGGCTATTTTTGGTTATTTATTTCTGGGTATTTCTGGGTATTTATTTCTGGTTATTCCTGGTTATTTCTGGGTATTTCTGGTTATTTATTTCTGGTTATTTCTTGTTATTTCTGGTTATTTCTTGTTATTTCTGGTTATTCCAGGTTATTCCTGGTTATTCCTGGTTATTTATTTCTGGTTATTCCTGGTTATTCCTGGTTATTCCTGGCCCTTCCATGCTCTCCCTCCGGGGCTGTGATATCAGCAAGAGTCCCCCTGGCACTGGGGGGGGGTGGCTCCAGCTGGAGGATCCCCAGAGCTGCTCCAGGAGGTGACAGAGCCCCGAGCTGTCCCCCAGCCCTGCGGCGGTGACACGGGGACGGTGACACGGGGGCAGTGGGTGACACCGGGGCGGTGACACGGGGACGGTGACACGGGGACGGTGACACGGGGGTGGCTGCTCAGCAGCCACTGCTCAGTGCAGGAGGGGACATCGGGCGCTGCCCCGCAGCCCCGTGGCCGGTGGCAGAGCCACTGCTCTGGCTGGCAGTGCCACCTGAAGGGGACACAGCACCTGCAGTGTCCCCAGGCCCAGGTGTGGTTGAGAAACCTGAGCTGCCCCCCCGGGGGCATTTTCCAGATTTAGCCGCAGGGATTGCGTTACCCTGCCGGGGCAGGTGGCTCTGAGGTGGCACTGAGGTGGCTCTGAGGTGGCTCTGAGGTGGCACCGGTGCCTGGCACACACCTCCTGCCACCCTCTGGGTGATGAGAGCCCCCCAAAGCCACTGCACCAGGCCCCTGCTGGGTTTGATTTCCCGCTCGATCGGGGCCGTTTAGGAGTGGAAAAATCAATGAGCAGCTCCAGGAGGGAGAGGGGACAGCAGGGGGACAGCAGGGGGACAGGGCAGGGACCATCACCCACCCACCCAGAGCCCAGCTGGGCCGGGGACTGAGGGAAAGGAGAAGAAAGAAGTGAAAACAGCTTTGCTGCTCACCATGGGCCAGCCCAGCCTTCCCTTCCTTCCTTCCTTCCTTCCTTCCCTCCTTCTTTCCTTCCTCGCTGTTGATTTTCACACCCAGGGGTGGCAGGGAGGGAGCACCAGGGGCCCAGGCTTTGTTCTGAATGTCACCAAGCTGTCACCTTGTCACACACCCACAAAACCACCCCGTGTGTGCCCCAGCCTGGGGACGGGCTCTGCTGTCACCCTGCTGGGACAGGGGACAACGAGGCTGGGGTTACCTGGGTACACAACAGAGGGGATTGGGGACCCTGAAGGTGCCAGCAGGTCACTGAGGGGATTGGGGACCCTGCAGGTCACAGAGGGGATTGGGGACCCTGAAGGTGCCAGCAGGTCACTGAGGGGATTGGGGACCCTGCAGGTCACAGAGGGGATTGGGGACCCTGAAGGTGCCAGCAGGTCACTGAGGGGATTGGGGACCCTGCAGGTCACAGAGGGGATTTGGGGACCCTCCCAGTCCAGGCCCAGCAGGTCCCAGCTCCCCCTCACCCCAGGCCAGCCCCAGTTCCTCATTTTCAGCTGCCATGTGGGGTGCAGGAGGGGAAGTTACATCAAAAAAAAAAACCCTCTCCAAAGCTGCTTGTTTGTTTTTTGGTTTGTTTTTTGTCGCTGCAGCCCAGGAGTGAGCAACAGGGCTGAGAAAAAGCGTGGAAAAATTGATGCAGCCACTGCCACAGGGGACAGGGGCCAGGGCTGGGCGTGTGCCAGGGACACCTCTGTACATTGCAGAGGGACAAAAGCTGT